AAATGAGAAAGACGACGAAGACAAAAACAAAGAAGAAGAACAGGTAGGAAGAAGAAGAGAAGCAATGACTAACACTATAACAATGTGATGTAAACGTGGCCATCGGTCTTAACTAGAATACATATATTTACCATATGGCTCTGCAGTTACATCAACTTTACAAGTATTTCAGAATCTTTCAGCTTATAACTTTCTTCCACTGCAGCTTCACTGCTGTGGTTCACTCCCACTTCTCTCACTGCCAAAACAGAGCTAAAAAAACATTACACTTCATTCATCGGACAGCCACAAACTCAACTGCAGCAAACCCTAACGTTGCTCCGCATTAGCCGGATGAGCACAAAGCCAACGGCTTCCTGACGAGTTTGTCGCATCGCTGCAAAAGGTAACAGCATGCCAGTGTTGTATTATAATCTATCTCCACTGCTCACAGGCCGGTTGGGCAGCGTAGCATGCCCACGCAGGAAAATAAATGATTTGGTCTTTAGTTTGGTCTTTTGTGTGGAGTCACGTTATTAAGATGTATGAGAGGATATCGAGCTGAAGAGCAGCGAAATGAAAGCAGACAGACGGAGAGACGGAGAGGGGGGAAACAGACATTATGAATTATCAATACTTACAATACTGGTAACCATTTGGGCAAACACAGATAACCCTGTTCTGATTTATTTATAGTCAATTTAGAGTTCCAAGTTTGCCTAAGCTGCATGCCTTCCAGGATATTAAATTTTTAAACAGAAAAAGACTCCAAAACAATCATACAAAACATCTTAGGGCATAAAATATACATTAAACTAAATATAAAAAAAGAATATGATAAAATCAGCCAACAATCATGAAACCAGAAATGTAGTAGCCGAAAGTGCAATTAGTTTAAAAATCATGGCGCTATATATTTAAAGGGTTTTACCTCCCACAGTGTTCTGATGTAAACAGATTCAAGCTAAAATGTTTATGTGATATCTGTCTAAGGTCCTGCAGCCTCAACTGGGAATGCAGGACTGTGCAACGGCTTTAAGGCCTTAAAGTGGGGGTCTCAAACTCGTGGCCCGTGGGCCAATTGAGGCCCGCCGGATGCTATTTTCCTCACACGTTTTTCTGCATGAGTCGTTGCCCCGGGGCGTTTTATATTTTTTATCACTTGTGGGCTTCCATAGCTCAGGCTCGTGACAGCAACACGAATTTAGGGCTGGACCCGAACAGCAGACTATTCGTTGGCCGTGCGGGAGTCAGGATATCAATTTTGATATCCGAATATTTCCCCTCCCGCCTTCGGGATATTCGTCATCAATTGGGCCGAATATCTGGAGAACAAAAAATGCAATTTGAACCAGCCCTACATGAATTAGCAACGTTAGTCACTTGAAACGTGATTTGAGACTGTCAGTAAGTGGAGGGAACATATATCCCGTCACCCAGTGCAAGTGCATGTTTTTGTTGTTTTTCTATCTGTGTGAAAAGCTCTTCTCCACCATGAACTTTAATAAGTCAAAGCACAGGTCTAAACTTACTGATGAGCATCTTCAAGCCAAACTCAGCTGTCTTAGAGGAAGCGCTGCTGGGTCTCTAGTGGCAAGGTGTAGGTAAGAGAAGTCTATGTTCTGAAGACTGTTTATGTTATGAATTGTTATTAATAAAGATTGAGAAGATTGGATCAGTTGTACTTGTTTTTTTGGAGGAACAACTGATGCGGCCCAGCCTCACCCAGACTCTACCTCCAGCAGCCCCCCAGGTAAGTGGAGTTCAATACCCCTGCCTTAAAGTAAACGGAGGATTCTTTCAAAAACAATCCAATTAACAGCTTTAATCATTCATAAAAAGTGAAGTAAACACAAAAAAAACTTGCTCAAGTCACAACATCGCCAATCCTCCGTGCTACAGTTGCGGTGTCAGGCGGGTTATTCGTACAGCAGCACACGTGTCTTCTGTGGATTTGGACCGTCTCAGTTGCTTCTGTCACTTGTAATCCCACAGTGACTTGACGATGTTGTGATAAGAGCCCTGTGGGGGCCAAACTACCTGCCACGGAACTCCTTGTTCTTTTTTGTCACTGAAGGTAGTTTTTTTTAAGACTTTACTCTGGTTTTATTTTACTCGGCTTCACAAACACAGTGCTGCGTTTTAGACAAATTGCAGCTATAACGCGTCCTTGATAGTGAAAGAGAAGGCAGTAATCTGCTATATGGAGGAGCAGACAAAGGCATGGGAACTAAAAAAATCACTGAAATTGAGAATGTTGGAAATATTTGAATCTGACAAAAAAAAAAAGCACAAACTATTTGTAAATCAAAATGAAGGTCACAGTCCAAAAAAATGCTATGCATATTTTTTTTTAAAAGAAAAACAAAGTTCTTGATTGCCGGTAAAGACGCTGTGGAATTTGTTAACAGGCATTTTTATTGAAGACATGTCACCGTAAGCAAAGCAGAGGAGCAAATCATGAAATTAACTGAATTTAAACTCCATTTAGCTGCTTTGGTCTCAGGATCCTGTTGCTGGTGACACTGCCGGGGCTTGAGCAGAACAGAATAATTGCTAATATTATTAGTAACATTTTTTTTTTTTGCTCTCAAAACAACAAGTCAAAAATGTCTGCCGTGAAAAAGACCTGTCTGAAAAAAAATAAAAATAAAAATGTCACTTCCTAGAAATAACTGATTGTCAAAGTATTCATAGCAAATAATGCAGTGACATGAAAAACAAATAGACATATTTCTTTCCACAAACATTTCTTTGTTTATCCTCGTAATCATCGCCTCGTTCAAATGAGAGCCGTGAGAAGCAATGCTAATTTCGGAAAACAGAGCTTCACCTTCAGAAATGCTTACTACTAGTAAGATTGTTTTTTTTTTAACAGGCTAAAGTTCCCGCCTCTAAAGAATCCCTGTTTTGACAACTTCCCAACGGGGACCCGGTCTCTCATAAACACGCGACGGCAGGTTTAAACGTCCACCGATTTAATGACAGTCATAAAACGATTAGAATGCGCACAACTCAGTTACACGGTGAACTTGAAGACAAACAGTAAAAAAAAAAAAAAAAGCTGCAACTTTTACTCGCTAATAGCTTATGTCATGTTGTCAAGACAGAGATCTCCGGTTGCGGTGTCAGTTTTGCACCGAAAGCGACGAAAAAAAAAAAAAAAAAGCACACCAAATGAAACACTTAACAGTCTTGCTGATTCATAATGTTTAATTCATGTTTATGTCAGTTTCTGTGGCATAGCCATGACAGTGTTATGTCAGCTTTGTGCACACCCCTTCAACGGAAGTGTCACCGAAAGTGTTTTGAGAGAGAGAGAGAGAGGAGGTGGAAGGAGTGAGAGGATTTGAGCGAACACAGAAGTGGATAGAGCGAGGAGACGGCACGTAGGGAAGAGGAGAGAGACATAAATAGACAATGTGGAGGGTTGTGCGAGGAGAGGTGAGGCAGAGAGAGGGAAGAAAAAAAAAGTCAACAACACAATAGGTGTGAAACATGAGACTTGAAGCCTGAAAAGTTGGAAATTTATGGAGAGAAGTGATGAGAACAGAGACTCTGGGAGGACAGAGCTGTAAAAAGAAAAAAATAAACAGCAACCAGGCGCATTTAGTCAGAAGAGATAAAGCACTTAGAAATTATTGACATCCATAAAGGTGAGGTGATGTTACCAAATATATATTTTTTTAAAGGCGAATGGAGCGAGAGAGGATGGTCAATTAAAGCGCAGAAGGTGGCGAAGAGGTTGGCCTTTACAATAAAAACTTGATGGGAGAGTATATTTTTGATGCTGCAGGGCTGAATGCTGCAGAATGAAAGCATGTAGGAGGTGACTTACCAGGTGCACCGGGGTGTTACTAAAAGAAATGCCTCGGTAAACTTAATGCAATCGCTAATCTTTAAATAGTTACAACGGCCGCAGCGTGGCAACCGAACATTGCTGACGTACGCAACATGCCTTCACCGACTAAACATCCTTTTTGGTTGAACCTTGACAAAGGAAGCTCGCGTCTTCCACGGATCAGTGCCTGACCAGCTTCTACCTGCTAGTAATTGCATACTTCAAACACTGACGCTCCCCCTCGTACCCTGTCAGCATCCCATCACTAAGGAGTAATAAACCGAGTGGTGCTGTGGCGTTTGAAAACCTCCACCAGCTTCACTGCTATGAAGACCAAGAGCAAGGAACACAACATAGCTATAATCATGATGTCATGTAATTGTCAGAGCACCAACACACCACGACTCTGACAGGTTCATCAACATGTAAATTTCCCCCCTCCATAAATACACGGATAATACGAGCACATCTGTCGGTTATTTTATTCTATTTTTGGATCCATGTGTGAGGGAGTAAATGTGTGCTCGCTCGCTTTCTCCACAGAGTTTAACTTTCCTGAACTTTGACTTGCACCTCTGCACCATTGACCACCAGCAAACGGTCAGCGTTGACCTCTGGACAACAGAATGTCAGAGAGTTCAAAACGAAAAGCTATCGTGGATAGCGATGAGCTGTGCTGCACCATTAACTTTAAATCGACCTCTTCGGTTGGAGTCCAAACCGCAGACGATGAACGAGTTGCAGATTATTGCTGTGACGGGAATCGACATTACAAAAACGTCTTTGGAATGGAAGTATTTTTTCATACGTGACTGAGCTGACAAGCATTCGTCTTCCTACTTCTGGATCTCTAAATATGTGGGAATCAAATGCTCTGAAGAGCCATTGTGTGACTAGTAGTGGCGTCCTCTAGAGTACGAGGTGTGTCAGAAAAGTTCCAGGACTGGCGTCACAAAAGATATATTTCAAATCCAAACTATGAGATTTCCCCTTCAGACAATCAACCTCTACAAAGAGATCCTGCGGCGTTTGCTTCCTTCGAGAAGAGGCGAGAGTTGTGGCAGAAGAACTTCACCATGACAACGCGCCTGCTCACAGCGCCCTGAGCATCCGCCAGCAAACGCCAGCTTACGACAACCACACAGAGGAAAACACGGTGAGCATTGTGTCGAGGACTCACCATAACTGAGATGTGCAGCAGGTGCATGTGTTCGTGCAGGACGTGAGCCGGCTCGCGGGCCGTGGGCTGCGTCGTCTGCGCTAGAAGCTCGGACTCGGTCATGGACACGTGGAAGTACAGAGTCCCGTTTTCCAACCACTGCTGCTTCCAGTGCACCTGGGAAATGTCTTCTCCCGTCCCCGACATCTCTGAAGAGAACAAATAGGGAGAGAAAATAACGGAATTAGCACAATTAATAAACGAGAAGCTGTTATTGTTTAGATCGTGTATTAAAATAGTGGTTCTCTAACTTTTTGAGCCACGACCCCCAAGATAACCTAAGTTTGTGTTCATGACCCCTCAATCTGAATTTTTAATATTTCATGAGTAATAACTTTGTTGTTCATGCAAGAATGCGATAAAAATAAATGTCTTAATTCCACAGATAATTTCCTTTTAATAAATGAATGAACTGAATTTATTTCGAACAAATAAAAGGGAAAAAAATCTAAAAACAAAAGAAAATAACTTAAAAAAGAGCATTAAAGAATAATAATATCACATAATTGAATCATAATACTAACAAGTTCGTAAAAGGAGTGGGAACACTTTTAATTTTGACAGCCCTAATACTAATTTATTTGATAAATGTGAGCTTTATTTTATTTTTTACAATTATCTGGTGACCCCCTGAAATTATCTTGGGACCCCCATGGGGGTCTCGACCTCCAGTTTGAGAACCACTGTATTAAACTTCCTAACTTTATTTGGAAAAAAACAAAAAAAACAAAGCAGTCTGTTAAGAAAATAAAATCTAAAGGGTGTCACTTTATATGAGACTGTTGTGACACCTGTCATCAACATGAAAGCGTCTTTATACATATTTATGACTCTTGTCATTCCATCAATTATGTCACTTTAATGCAAAGGTGACATTGTTTGTGAGACCTTTGTTGTGACAAGTTGACATTAACCAAGACAACATCATGTCATGAACATCTAATCATCATAGTATTAAGCTTGACATGAAACCGCCATGTGGTTGGTGTTGACACTGGACGCCATGAGGTCATCATAATTGTGTTGTGAATATGTTCTTCGACCTCATTTGCAGTGGGACAACTTATACTACCACCACTACTACTACTACTTATATAACTATTCTTTCGGTTCCCTCACTTAACCCTTGGTCAAAGCCGTCCCAACCAATGTCAACCCCATAATAAAACTGCAATAATCGACCGTATGACGCTCAATGGCGACGGTCAAAAACATCCATAAAGACTCTTTCATGTTCACGACAGCTGCGCTTCTGCACGAGCCTTCAAAGAAAGTGGTTCCAAATGAAGTTCAAATATGATTGGTATGCATTATATCAGGTTGTGCATTAGTATTCCAATGCGGCGCTCCATCTCTGCGCACATCAACAGTCTGCTGCAACGGGAAACCTTGAACTCTTGAATAGCTGGACAGTCTTCTTCTTGGGTTGTCATAATTTCTGTGCAGCTGTTGAGCCCTCGCGTTGCTCGGCAGTCGTTCCGGTGACACCCATGGTAGTAGTTAAAGATTAAAGAAGAATAAGCATCACAAATGTTTCAGCCATCGCAACCATTACAGATGAAATAGCCACAGATGCAAAAAGGTTTAGCCCTGTTAGTATCCATTTGTTTGCTTTTTTTTAGTCAGGCAAAGACAGACACTAAAAAAACAATTCCATAACTGTAAAGTCAGTTGGTCCGCTAAGCTCGATTAAACGTATATTTCAAGAGCAGTTGTAGAAACGCTGCCTCACCATTCAATGTCTTCCTCTTATCTGCATAAATCATCCCACATCACACCAATATAAAACCACCAGCTCTAGGCCAGGGGCTGGTATTAAGAATATAACATCAAAGGAAAGCTGGGAACATTTAAAAGGAAAAAAAAAAAAGCAGTGGGGGGAAATGTGCAAATTGAACAAAAAGGAAAGAAAAAAAAAAACGCACTCTCAATTGCAATTTATGGAGCGGTGGAAAAGAAAGGAGATGAAAAAAAGAAACAGGGGCGATCACCAGTTTATCTGGATATGGATCATGGCACAAGAATCTAATGCTATCAAGTGGGAGTGGTTGTTCAGTAGCGGAGTACTGAGAAGCCTCAGGGAGCCTCAGATTGCAAAGCTTGATACAGTATTTGTCATGTGGCTGGGTGACAAGGGCACAGACATCTGCTGACATCCCCTATCAGTGGCAGGTAGCAAATGACAAATGGCTTTCGGTGCAGCTGGTTATTAACCTGCTGACTCTGGGTCAGAGGACATGGACGGCAGGGGAGGGTTACATGAGCTGTGCTCAACAGTGCCACGGGCCTTTAGGTGAAAGGAGGGAGTGTGGCGAACAGACATCCTTTCAGAAAAATGACAGGATTCGTAATGATAAAGCTCGGCGTGTCGTATTAGCTCGTAGCATTGTTTAAATGAAGTCAGTGCAGGGCCGGAATGAATAATATTGTACTGATCCTTTTCTTTATCCTATTTGCTAATTGATAGTATCTTTGTTTTATCTATTTATTTATTATCTTTTTAATCAGGATATGGTAAAAAAAATAAAATAAATAAATACATACATCTATGAATGAAAAATGGCCAGGGGTAAGTTTTTATCTTTGGATTGCCTCTGCTTCAGAACACTACAACTGATGTAAAACAGAAGCATGACATCTGGATATTTGTATGTTTGCTATTATTTTCTTAACCCTATTCAGGACTTTTGGGGTCTTTTGGACCCCAGGCCATTTGGTTTAGGTGACAGGTATTGTTTGTTTTGTTTTTTTAAATTATCTTTGAAGTTTTTTAATGCATTTGGAACCAAAAATCCGTCAACTTATCAGAAAATTTATCTAACATAGTATAAAAGTCTATCATGAATACCAACAACTATTTGGCACATATTCTTTCTTGGGGTCCCCGAAAAGACCGTCTACTTCTAGCAACATTAAAGTCCTGAATAGGGTTAAATAAAAATCAGAATTGCCATAAAACAATTCTCTGAATATCACCAGAATGATTATTTTAGGGGGCTGCAGGGTGGCGCAGTTGGTAGCACTGTTGCTGCCTCGCAGCAAGAAGGTTGCCGGTTCGCATGTTCTCCCCGTGCAGTGTGGGTTCTCTCCGGGTTCTCCGGCTTCCTCCCACAGTCCAGAAACATGTTGAGGTTAATTGGTGATTCTAAATTGNGATTGCCTCTGCTTCAGAACACTGTACAACTGATGTCAAACAGAAGCATAACATCCTGGTATTTGTATGTTTGCTATTATTTTCTTAACTCTATTCAGGACTTTTGGGGTCTTTTGGACCCCAGGCCATTTGGTTTAGGTCAGCGGTCTTCAACCTTTTTTGCACCACGGACCGGTTTTAAGCAAGAAATTTTTCCACGGACCGGTCATTACACACATAACAAATAATAATTGTTTTTTTTCTATTGAAAAGTTTCACAAATAAATAAAATTACTTTTTATTGCTTAACATATTTACTTTTTCTTCTGTCTCAGTATCGAGTCTCTCCCACTTTCCAAAGCAGCTCTCCTGAGACGTTTGTTGTTGACTGGCGGCTTCGTTTAGCAGCCGGGCATAAAAACTGACAGTCAAATGAGCACAAACGGAAGTGACGGGAAGACGAGCTAGTCATGTTTCAAAATAAAACACCCTGCAGACTCTGCTGGAAATAAAAATAAACCAATAAAACGTTTTTATTCTATCTGTGCGGCCCGGTACCGGTCCGTGGCCCGGTGGTTGGGGACCGCTGGTTTAGGTGACAGGTATTTTTTAGTATTATTGTAGAAGTTTTTTCATGCATTTGGAACCATAAATACATCAACTTGTCAGAAAATCTATCTAACATAGTATAAAAGGCTATCATGAATACCAACAACTATTTTGCACATATTCTTTCTTGGGGTCCCCGAAAAGTCCATCTACGTCTCGCAACATTAAAGCCCTGAATAGGGTTAAATAAAAATCAGAATTGCCATAAAGCAACTTCCTGAATATCACCAGACTGATTATTTTAGCATTAAATCAACACCCACATCTTAAATCTCTCTATTGTCTCTTAAAGCACACCCCGCTGGAAACAACCTCCCTCTTGTAAAAGTAACACACCTGTGAAATGTTCTGCATTTCTGCTGACTACAGCTTATGATAAAATCCTGTAGGGTGTGAAGTTCTTAAATGCCATAACTGCTGGCTGTTTAACTCTTTATGTTAAACCTCTGGGCTGAAGACATGCTGCTCGACCTTTCCAGAGATAAACCTCGGTCCGCTGGGCCAACGGTGACGCTTCCTCCCGCCGTCTGTCACCGTTAATAGAGCTTATCAAGCTCTTGTCGGATTTACCTTTAGAACTTTAGCTTACGTGCTCTGTGCGTTCCCGGTAGCTTTAAATAACTCGGCACAACAGTGACACTTGGTTTGACGGGAATTAAAAGCGATTGTCCTGTGAAGAACTAAAAAGGAAATCTTGCCGTAACAGAAGCACTCGCACGAAGCATAGACGGACAGTAATAGAGTTTCTAAGGTTGTTATGTACCTCTGTGCGATTGTTATGTAGATGAGGAAGCTCGGTAAGCATGCTATTTTAAGACAAAAGGATGTGTGTGTGTGTGTGTGCCCTTGTCTTTTGTGCTATGAGGCTTGTCGCTGGGCACCGAGCCAGACGTTAGTGGGATATAGGTGTATGGCCTCAAGGTCTACTTGTAATTCATTAGGAGGGACATTAATAACGCGTATATGTGCATGACTGTGTGTAGACTGTATAGGTGCGAGGGGAAGCCGGTGTGCTCTCAGCAAGGATGCCCGCAGCACTGCCAACCTGAAGTCCAAGGACGACCCAGAGAAAATTCCATATTCAACAATTCATAAGCGAGGAAAAACGTGGATCACAGAGACACTGTGACACATCTCGAGGCTTGGATTCATTTGAAGCTGCGGTCATAAAGCAGTGGGAGACAGACCGAAAGACATTACGATGATCAAATTATTCACAACCGCTCGAGTAAGTGCAAGACTGGCTTGGAATGGTCCACTTATCTGAATCTGTGAGGGACTCGATCTGTGGATTTGGGCATTATCTACAAACAGCGTCCAGTATCGCTGGCCGTTTTTCAAAGCGTATATGCTAAAAGCGGTTAACAAGTCTATAGGTTTTAAATTCATTTCCTACTGATCGATTTG